TCTGGGTAGAGGTTGCATACTCCCTGGAGAAAACTTTTGGTAATTGGGTGAGCAAAGGCTGAAACACTGTCCACTTTGCCATAGGATGTTGTAATGCCAGCCAGATGTGCTTGTATTGAACTCATTAAAAGGCCAGATTTCTTAAGGTAAAGCATGTAGTCCAGGACCAATGATATGGTAGAGGTGATGGCATCAATTTGTTTGTTTAGGTACCTCGTGTGGAATCTCTTTCATTTATGGAGGTACATAACTCGTGTAACGGGCTGTCTCTGTTGTTTAGCAAGAGGTCTTCAACATCCTCAGAACAAGTTATCTCCTCGCCTTGGAACCACTGAGGAGCCAGGCTCTGAGATGGATTGACTCCAAGTTTGGATGCAGAGTCTGACCCGCTTCCTGAGAAAGGAGATTTGGAAGAAGCAGGAGAAGACGTGGGGGCATGATGACATCTGTTGCAGTATGGGTACTAGGTTTGCCTGGGCCATGCGGGTACTATCAGAATGATTTTGGCTTAATTGATTCTGATCTTATGCAAGACACTGGACAGCAATGGGGTAGGAGGGATAGCATACAGGAAGGATGTATCCCATAGGATGAAAAATGCACCGCCTCTGGATCCTGGCCCCAGACCCGCTCTGTAGCAAAAATTTGGGCATTTGCTGTTCTGTTTTGTGGCGAATAAGTCTAGCAACCATAGTTGAAAAATGCTCTGGATCACACAGGTGTTGATTTTCCACTACTGATCGTTCGAGAACCTTCGACTTAATGTGTCAGCTGTGACCTTCTGAGACTCCAGGAGGTAGGAGGCTGATATGGTGATGCTGTGTTGGATGCACCATGTCCAGAGCTTTATGGCCTCCGTACATAGGGAGTGTGACCTCAGTTCCTCCCTGTTTGCTTATGTGGAACATGCAGGCCACATTGTCCATCACAATCTGTATGTTTCTGTTTTTAATCAGAGTCATGAAACGTGGACAGGCATTGCAAACTGCGAGCAATTCAAGTACATTGATGTGGAGTGTTGATTTAGAAGGAGACCATCTTATCTATACTGTGAGGTTGCCTAACCAGGCACCCCATCCCAGTAGAGGTATCCGTTGTGATTATCATTTTGGGAGGAAGCTGTAGGAAAGGGACACCTATGCAGATGTTGCGTGGGTGAGTCCACCATTGTAACGAGTCCTTGACCTTTACTGGCATGCTTAGAAGTTTGTTCAAACTGCGTTTGTGTGGTGCGTACACTGTCTTGAGCCAAACCTGCAAGCAGTGCACCTGCAGCCTGCTGTGTTTCACCACGTATGCGGTCGTCACTATGTGACCTTGTAGTTGGAGACAGGTTCTGGCGGATATCTGTGGGCTGTGCACCAAGGTATTGATGAGGTTCATTAGAGGGGCAAATCTCTGAGGAGGTAATGATGCTGTTGCTTCTAGAGAATTTAGATGGGCGCCAATTAAGTCCAGTTTCTGAACTGGCGTTAGTGTGGACTGTTGGACATTTATTAGTAGACTGAGACTTGTGAAGAGCGACACTGTCTGTTGCACGACTGTGATGTCTTCTTCCCAAGTGAGAGTCTTGGCTGGACAATCGTCTAAGTAGGGGGTATATTGTGACCCCGTGCTTGCAAAGGTCGGTCGCTGCCACAGCAAGGACTTTGGAAAATACCAAGGAGGCCGTGGAAAGGCCAAAGGGTAGTACTGTATATTGGAAATAGTTCTGTCCCAGTATGAATTGAAGAAATTTCCTGTGCGTTGGATGTATAGCAAGGTGAAAATATGCATCTTGAAGGTCGAGGGCCACAAATCAATCCCCTTGTTCCAGTGCTGGAATGATTGTAGATAACATAACCATCCTGAATTGTGTGTTCTGACAAATTTGCTTAGCTTCCTGAGATCAAGGATGGGTGACACCACCCTCCAGACTTCTTCTGGTTAAAAACGTGGGAACAGAAGCCCTTCCCTCTGATGTACCGAAACTGGCTTTAGCACCCGCAGGTGTAGGAGATGTTCTTCTTCCAGTCTCAGGAGGGGCTTGTGAGGCATCCCTGAAGAGGGATGGGGAGGGAGGACGGGTGATAAGGCTGGAGGGGGAACTGGATGGCATAGCCAATTTTGATGATTTCCAGTCTTCATCTGTTGTAAGTGATAGTTCGCCAAGTTGGATAGAACGGTATTAGACAGTTGGTAAAAGGATGGTTGGCTGGTTGGAAGTGGTGCTGGCAGCAAGAGTTGGGGGAGGTTTGTCAAGCCCTGGACCAAACATTCAAATCTGCTGTTTAGATGTTGATTGTTGGGATGTAGTGGGTTGGGAAAAGTTTGATCTGCATCTGGTCGGTCTCTGCCTATGTCTCTGGTTATCGTATTGTCTCGGTTGCTGTGTGTACGGGGCCTGTCTGGGACGCTGTGATGTATAATACCTGCCTTGTTGTTTATGTTTTGTTGCAGGTATATAAACACTAAGATCTGAGAGTGGTCCTCAAATCTTTCAATGAGAGGAGTGACTTGTCAGTCTTACCAGCAAACAGTATTCGACCCTTGAAGGGAAGGCATACTTCAGAGCCCCCTACCAGGGAGCAAAAAGGCGTCTGACAGGGAGCCTCTACCCATTCCCCAGACTGAGCAGAACGCGTGGCATTTCCTGTTCTGACGGGACATGAACAAGTCCACCTGGGGAGTCCCCCACTTCTGGAAGATCAGCCTGACCACCTCTGGATGGAGCAGCCACTTGTGGCAAGACAAGAAGGTTCTGCTGAGGCGATCTGCTAACACATTCCAGGCCTCAGGCAGATGTGCGGCTACCAGATGGATGGCATGCTGCACACAAGTCCCAAAGGCGGAGAGTTTCTTGGTAAAGAGCCAACGACCTGGCTCAGTCCTGTCTGTTGATGTAATATATCGCAGTGGTATTGTCTATCAGGACCTGCACCACCCTGCCCTTCAGGTGGGGCAGGAACGTCTGGCAGGCCAGGCAAACCGCTTCAAGCTCCCTGACATTTATGTGATGGTTCCTGAAAATGAGCCTCCAGAAGGAAGGCTCTGGCTCGAGTGGAGTTGAGAGCCGCCCCAATGAACTCTATTAGTTGCACCGGCTCTATGGTCGAATTCTTTTAGTTTACCAACAGGCCCAGGTCAGGGCAGGTGGAATGTATGAGCTCGAGGCAACATTGCACCAGTTCCCAAGATCTGTCCTTGATGAGCCATGGGGGTGGGTATACCAGGCCATCACCTGATCCGGGGAGGACGACGACTACTGGGTTACCAGGGGAGGCCCCAGGAAATCATTCCTCGTCGGGAAAGAGGGTTTTGGGGTGGGTGCTTGCTCCTCTACCCTGGCCCTGGAGTTTCCCATCTGCACTGAGCTTGGTGCCGCCGGTTGCTGCTCTGAGGCGGTGGCTGAGGAGTGGATTGATGGAGGCATTGGCATCACAGGCATGCCCCACACGCCCCAGTAGGGCCACTGCACCAGCCACCGGCCTCGCTGCCATGACGGCATCACGAAGGTGAATGCAGCCTCAGGTGTCCAATTGCACTGATGCTGTCGCAGTGAAGGGCTGAATTCCCTTTCCGTACTGGAGAAATCACCTTCCGGTGACCACAGAGAGGATGTAGAAGCTTGCGTCTGGCGGCTAACCATCGCCGCGGGAGACCAGTGCCTCGAGTAGGTGGATCAGGGACAGGGGGATCAGTACCGCAACGCAGACCGCTCCCACGGTCTAGGAGACTGAGATCTGTACCGAGGAGACAGCCAGTGGGAGGATGACCGGTGCTGGCGGTACGATGACCGGTGCCTTCCTCTGGCAACCCACATTGAGAGGGCGGAGACCGCGACTGCAGTGCCAGCGATCTAGGACATCCTGTAGAAGACGGAGACCTGGGACGTGGAGATGGAAAACGCTGTCTCGATTCCGGAGACCAGCGTCAGTTGCCGACCCTCTTAGGGGTCTTTACCGCAGGCTTGCCCTTGCCTTTGCCGTGACCCACAACACACGTGGTGCTGGCAACACTGGTAGAGGCCTCTGCTCTCTGGGCACTGGGAAAGCCTGTGAAGGCATTGGCCCTGCCACCAGTCTGGGTCTTCTACTGCTTTCTGGAGTCAGTGGCGGATCTCTTGGGGAACGAGCGGGGGCCCCATCAGGGGAGGGAGCGGGGGGCAGATCCCCATGTGGCTCCAGTGTGGGCTGTTGGCCCAAACTGGGACAAAAGTTTTTACAGATGCGTCACATATGTGATTCCCCCAAGCCCTTGAGGCAGCTGCTATGGGGGGTCACTAACAGGCATAGGCCTGTTGCAGTCAGAGCAGGGCTTAAAACCTGGAGACTGGGCCATGCCCTGCTTGGGTCAAAGTCGCCACTGGGACTCTCTCTCTCTAACTACACTACTTAACTACTTACTGTAAACAAACTATTTACAAGGCCCTAAAGACTGGAGTAGAAGAACTGCTAATCCTTGCTACGCAAGGGAAAGGCGCTTTGACTAACCACCATGGGTGGTAAGAAGGAACTGGGAGGGCGTAGGGCCGGTGGTGCCTAATATACCGATGCATGAGTGCAGCACTCAAGAGGGCACCACAGCTGACCCTACAGATACCACTAAGGCAAAAATCTCCAACGGCCGCACACGTGGGCGCATGCACACCTAGAATGGAATTGACATGAGCAGGCACTTGAAGAAAAACTGTTTTTTTCTGGCTTTTTAAACACACTTTGCTATGCTAGCTTTTATGCCTTCCCCAAAGAAGTGTCAATTGTTTTTACTGGTTGATTAGTTCTAGGTGGACAAAACATCCAATGGAGTCCAAGTTAGGGCTATACTCATTTCACTTGTGACCTGAAACAGAATTTGAACTCAGGCCTCTATTGGTAAAAAGCTAGTGCATTGGCCCCTGCACCACAAAGGGAACATTCTTCAGACTTCTCCATTAAGAATGTCTGATAATAATGTAAATGGATCTCTGGTAATGTGCTTTTTTTGGGGAGGACCTACGGAGGGAGTGAACAGTGTTTTACCTTGATCTTTCACCAGAAAATTGGTAGTAACGAGGGGTGGGACCTGCCCTCTAACTCCAGTGATGAATGGCTCTGATCCACGGTTATTTCTGTCATCTTCAATTACTTGGATCTAGAATGGAAAGCAGCATGTTAGCCACAGCAGGCTCCATTTCATGAAGACACGGGTGGGGGAACATAGAATCTGCAGTTACAAAGCAGTCAGACAGGGATTGGGACAAACATTACTATCTCTAAGAATTGAGATGCCTAGACCTAGTTTAAACTTTACCAAGCAGTCAGCTCTTATTGTTTACAAATTGGGAGTAAGACAAGAGATGGGTTTATTTCAACAACAAAAACCCAACATATTTTAACCCCCCTTCCCAGTTTTAATTATTTTGAAGATTGGCATATTTTACATTTTAAGATCTGGACTCACTTAAAGCAAAATTTGGCCCAAGAAAATAATTTCTAACAGTATTCTGCTCTTTACTGCTCCCCAGTATACTCTGTTGCAACTACAGTCACAGCCAGATCTCTCTGGCAGCTTTGTTATAGATTCCAAATATCTTTCAGCTTGCACTGCCTTTTTTGCCTGCTTTTTCTTTCTGAGCTGTTAAGTTCCCGGTATTTTCACAAAGTGAAGCTGTTCCACTGTATATGTGATTAGACTCTGACCTAAAGTAATCTGAAAACTCAGAAGTGATCAAATTCCTTCTACATAGTGCTCACTCTAGTTCATACTTTGAGCTTTTGGGACCGAGGCCAGTCTGCAACTCAGACTGTTACAGATCATTCAAGCTGAGCTCGACAGGATGGTAACAGTGTTAAATCCACTAGTTACCGTGATAAACTTGTTTAAAAGAATACGTCTAATTAGAGATTATGCATTATGAAGTTCAACAGCACTTTTCAGTGGATACTTTTAATCCAACTCTGCCACAGAATGGGAGAGTTTAGTCTAGAAAGATTTAGCCCTCGCAACTACCTTTTCAGTACCTATGCCAAATCCAGTTTAAGCATTAATCTAGCACTGATCCTACTGAACGATCCATTTCCCCCAAATTATATCCCTCAATTTGCAACCTATTTTAATATGCAGAGTGTTATACAGCAGAGTTCTTGTTACCCTTATACAGTACATGTTCTAAATTGTGCAAGTGGAATGTTCAACCACAGAATCAGACTGTGACCATTCCAGGAAAAATCTTCTCAAAACTCTACAGATTAACTGAAGTTGGTGTCATCACTGATTAGATATGAGTCATGTGACCAACTTTAACCAATCACCAGTAAAGCAAAAATGATATTGGGGTAATAGAAAATTTAATCCACCATTTTCCTCCAATCCAAAGGTAGATACTTTTCATTTTAAAAAGATTCTCAAGGCACATTTCTAATTTAAAAATTTAACATTTTAATTTTTAACAGTGGTGTAGGATCACAGATAATGAAAGAATGTTTATAGCTCCATATGCCTCAGAGGAAGTCTGCTAAGGGATTCAGACGAGGAATTAATGTCAAAACAGAACAGTTACTTCAAAAGCGAGACAGTGCATCAAACACTGCTCAAGAATAAACAGTAACCAAATTCAATTTACACAGGTAGAAAAGACTTCCACTAAGGAACAAACTGTGTGTACTTGTAATGCATATGGTATGCAGAAAGAGTATGTGTAACTACTCATACTGCATTTTTCGTGTTATAGATGTTCCAATTGGAATCTGATATAGGTAGGTATTTTGCTTTTAAAAGTCAGACAATGTGGAGGGGAGACATTCTTCATAATCTGCTTCCAAACTGCTGTCCACTTTCTATTGCCCCTTATTTCATGACATAGGAAGTGATTGAATGACCAGTCCCCATGTGGTGTTTATTTTATTCATTTTGATGAGGTAAGCAGAAAGGGATGGAAAAGAAGGATAAACGATTAACACTGAAGGGTTAGTAAGGTGAAGCTTATGCTGCAAACATGCACAGGTGGTCACCAACACACAGATGACAGAAGACAGACACCGCACTTACTGGGCTAGGAATTGCATCTGGGTCTATTCTGTGCCTGGGTTTCTGCTGGGGTGGCAGCTCACTGAGTTGCTTTTTTTTTTTTTTTTTAAGTAACAGAGTGCCACAAAAAGAAAAACAAAGAGTAATAAAACAAAAAGTAACAGTGTTACTTCTCTCTGCCAAAATTTATAGCACTGGAGTTAGATATATTCATTTGTACAATCATGCAACAAGAGGAAAAGAACACATCTGCTTCCATACTACACAGTTATCCCAGAATCTGTCTTGCCATTGAACTGTTCTTGGGTTCTGAACATTATGTTGGCAGAGACAATGGCTCACATGCCTGTTTTGCTAGAATTTGGGGATTTACGCTTTGAGAGCATGCTGCAATGGAGGCACTTGATGCAAGTTTCTTGAGATTTAATTTAGTGAAAGAGGAGAGAAGCAAGCAAAGGTATTAAAATGCCCCCATTCCTTCCAAAAAGCAAGTCCTAAAACACACACAAACATCGAATCAAAAACCAGAAGAGCCTAGGACTTCAATACCATTAGTTAGATCAGGTGGTAACATGAAGCCAGATTAAAGGCAGGTATAAAATTAAAGTAGTGACTAAAACCATTGCCCTGAAAAAGTTTGTCAGCATCAGAAGCAATTGTGGTCTTTGGAAACACCAACTCAGCAGAATCAGGAGGAGTGGAGGATGAGCCTAAGAGGCTAGTGGTAGGAATTATGATGGACTGCCATTTCACACTGTTGCTTGTTCAACAAAAAAACTTCAAAAACAGACTCCAACGAGAAACTGCAGAACTGGAATTAATTTGCAAACTGGACACCATCAAATTAGGCTTGAATAAAGACTGGGAGTGGATGGGTCACTACAAAAACTAATTTCCCCCTGCTGATACTCTCACGTTTTTGTCAACTGTTTGAAATGGGCCACCTTGATTACATTGGCCTCATTAGCACTACAAAAATGATTTCCACCCCTTCTTGTCAACTGTTGAGAATAGGCCACTTCCACTTTAATTGAATTGGCTCGTTAGCACTGACCCCCCCACTTGGTAAGGCAACTCCCATCTTTTCATATGCTGTGTATTTATACCTCCCTACTGTATTTTCCACTCCATGCATCTGATGAAGTAGGTTTTAGCCCACGAAAGCTTATGCCCAAATAAATTTGTTAGTCTCTAAGGTGCCACAAGGACTCCTCGTTTTTTCTGATACAGACTAACCCGGCTACCACTCTGAAATCAGTCCCCTGCCTGCTTTTTGGAACCTCCCCTCTGTAGAGGATTAAAATTTGAGAAATAGCTCATCCTTCAACTACTAGTGTCTCACGATTCTGCATAGAATGCTCTTGGCAACAGAGTTAACTAGCTGCTTTGAAGTTACATCTAGAGGAACAGGAAAGACGACACACTTATGGCCCATACCTTAAATAAGCAAAATATCAGCAGAGCTGGATTAACTGCTATGGTGTTATGTATTCAATCAGTTTCTGTCATGATTGCGTACCAGTACACTTATAACAAATGGCCCACCATACTATAAACAAGCTCTTCAGGCCTCCTCAAATTGAACCATCATTGGTTTCTAACTCAATTGTTTATATCCCTCTTAGAAGCTGGGTAATCTCTGTGTCAGATAGAATTAATGCAGTTTTGGGACCTGCGTCAGTCAGTCAACTGTTTCGGACTGAGACATGGAACTTATTTTGTTCTATCAGTGAAGTGGGAGATTTTCAGAATTCAGGTGACAATTCCCACAGGACATTTGATCACTTGTAAGGCAGGTCACGTGTTGTGCCTAAACCTGCAGATGTAGGCCCTTTCAAAGAGCCACTAACAAACATCAGCACACAACAATCAAATTCTGTTCAGGGGGAGTGACAATATGTACTACTTTGATAAATCAATGTTCACTTGAAATACCCCCATACTTCTGCTTTTGGGTTAACAAGCTCGTAGTCTAACCAGAGTCCTCAAGAGAGGGGATGAAGGTTGCTTCTGAGGAATTCTCCCCTTCCCACATGCTAACATGGAACAAAGCAGCACCCTGAAAATTAGTGCTATAAATTCAGAATTTCCAATGCCATAGGGCTAATGAGCAGTAGCAAAACTGTACTTATATAGCAGCTTCCATCCAAGGTCCCAATATTCTTTACAAACAGAATACAAATTCTTTTCTCAATGACCGTCTGAGGCAGGTAAGTATCCCATTTTTACAGAGAGAAAAAGGGAGAGAGAGGCTCAGTAATGTGTTCAAGACCACACGGAATCAAGGACAGAGTTGGGAACAGAACTCAGATGTCCTACACCCAGTTCCATGCTCTAATCACTAGACAATACTGCTTCTGGTAAACCAGAGGTTATATTCTCAGAACCTCCGTTCACGGGCAGAAGTATGAAGAACAAAGTCAACAGATAGAGCATTGGGACCTGTTTTTGGCATCCGTCAGTTTGATTTATACGAAGATGTTTTATGGGGAAGTTCATGTTGGTCAGAACTGAATTAACTTACAGGGCTAGGAATGGAGTCCGGATCCAAGCGTTTTGGCGGGGGAGGTGGTGCAGGTTGACTCCCGTAATTTGGTGTTCCTGGATAAGCGCCGCCATAGTTTGGTTGTGGGCCTCTAACCTGTCCAAAGGAACCTGAAAAAGAGACAACAAAATGAAAGCATATCTAATTGTTCTGTATTTGTACAGAGCCTTGCACAACAGGGTCCTGGGTCTGTGGCTAGGGCTCCCTGGAGCTACTTTAATACAAATAATACTAAACACTTCCTTTCTTAACCAGTTTTTCTAGCCATCTTAATCCAAAAATGGACAGCTACCTGCCCTTCAAGTAATTAGAATCAAAGAGATTTATCAAAATTCTTCAGTTGTAATCTCTCTAGCAGAGTAGTCCAGATTTAATAGTGATTTAAGTAATCTATTGTTGGAATCTGTTTCAGAAATGGGAAGAACTGGTCCTTTACCTACTCCCTTAATGGGTTAGATCTGCATTAAAGCCTCTGTGAAAACACAGGCTATGCTGCAGATCTGGCTAATATAGATTATGACCGAAGCAGTCCAGTACCCCATACTGCACCAACAAAATAAAGAAATACTGACAGAAACGTGTCAGACAGCTTTTGTGTTGCCTGAGATTAGCACAGATTAAAACTCTGATATTCTAATTTGTTTAGTTTTTAAATTGCATGTATTTATTTCACCTTGCTTTACACTTTATTAATGGAAATGCCTGGGGTGGTACATGGTTGTATCAGCTGCAAAAGACACAGAAGGCAGTATATAGGTAGATAGCTATGTACCTGCCACTATTCTCTTACAAAACGGATAGTTCTGCCCAGCAGTGTTCTTAAATACTTAGGCCATGTCTACACTACCACTTATGTTGGCAAAATTTATGTCAGTCAGGAATCTGGAAAAAACTACCCCCCTGAATGACATGTTTCACCAGCATAAGTGGTAGCGTGTACAGCGCTATGTCAGCGGGCGAGCTTCACCCGCTGACATAGCTACCGCAGCTCATTGGGGGTGGTTTTATTATGTCGACGGGAGAGCTCTCTCCCGCCGGCATAGAGTGGTTACACGAGCAATCTTACAGCAGCACAGCTGCATCAGTACAGCTGTGCCCGCTGTAAGCTCACTAGTGTAGACATAGCCTAAGTGACATGGCCAATAATTCACCTAGCAGATTGTAAAATGCTGCAGGGAACGTCTTCCTGATCCTTGCAGCTAGTTATCAACATTAAGGGTCACAATCATTCAGCAGAACATGTAATAGATATTAATGAATTCATCCTCAATACCCCTGCAATGAAGAAGAGTACTTCAAAGGGAGAAACAAATTCAAAGGGATAAAGTAACCTGATCACAGAGAGAACTTCAGTCAGGGTTAGAACTCAGGCGCGCCTCGCTCTAAAACCCATGATCAGCAACTATACCACTCTACAATGCAGTGATCAACAGCAGGCAACATAACAGGATGAGAACTGTAGATCTTATGTTTAAATACTTCTTTTCATTAGTTCTAAATTTACTGCTCTTTAGTTCACCAAGGCAGACAAATCAAGGCACAAGGAGATGGAAGAAGGAAGTAATAGAAGGTGGGAAAGTAGAAATCCATTCTCAACATGTTACAAACCTTTCCATAAACATGCAGGGTGTGCGCATTTTAATCCCCAAGCACCGATATTTAATTTTTGTAAATTCCCTACTTCTGAATATAGGAGAAAGCAAATGTCAACTTTACCAACCAAAGCACAAGATATTTAATTTGAATTGGAAAAACTCTTCAGGGCAGGGGACCATATTTTATTCTTGTAAAGAACAATGCAAACATATGGTGCTAAACAGTAAGCAATTCTTTTGTACCAATGCAAGCCAGAATAAATTTTTTCTAATTCAGTTTAACCCAGTTAGCACCTACATTGACCAAGAAGCATGGAGTAAACACTAAATCTCCATTAGGGATATATCCACCAGGGGTGATCTCAGGACTCTCCTCTAAACTCTGAACAAGCTACAGGGAACACTCTAGTTAAAAAAATGCAGCCAAGAGACCAACAGACACAAATCAGGAACCAGACCACTCTTGCACCTAAAACTCAGACAATGAATCCATACTCTCCTGCAGTGCAGAAAGATCATAAAATCATAGAAGATTAGGGTTGGAAGAGACCTGAGGAGGTCATCTAGTCTAACCCCCGCTCAAAGCAGGACCAACCCCAACTAAATCATCCCAGCCAGGGTTTTGTCAAGGCGGCCTTAAAAACCTCCAAGGATGGAGATTCCACCACCTCCCTAGGTAACCCATTCCAGTGCTTCACCACCCTCCTGGTGAAACAGTGTTTCCTAATATCCAACCTTGACCTCCCTCACTGCAACTTGAGACCATTGCTCCTTGTTCTGTCATCTGCCATCACTGAGAACAGCCTAGCTCCATCCTCTTTGGAACCCCCCTTCAGATACTTGAAGGCTGCTATCAAATCCCACCTCACTCTTCTCTTCTGCAGACTAAATAAGCCCAGTTCCCTCAGCCTCTCCTCGTAAGTCATGTGCCCCAGCCTCCTAATCATTTTTGTTGCCCTCTGCTGGACTCTCTCCAATTTGTCCACATCCTTTCTGTAGTGGGGGGCCCAAAACTGGACACAATACTCCAGATGGGGCCTCACCAGTGCCGAATAGAGGGGAATAATCACTTCCTTCAATCTGCTGGCAACGCTACTACTAATGCAGCCCAATATGCCATTAGCCTTCTTGGCAACAAGGGCACACTGTTGACTCACATCCAACTTCTCGTCCACTGTAATCCCCAGGTCCTTTTCTGTAGAACTGCTGCTTAGCCAGTCAGTCCCCAGCCTGTAGCAGTGCATGGGATTCTTCTGTCCTAAGTGAAAGATTCTGCATTGTCCTCGTTGAAGCTCATCAGATTTCTTTTGGCCCAATCCTCCAATTTGTCTAGGTGACTCTGGACCCGACCCCTACCCTCCATCATATCTACCTCTCTCCACAGCTTAGTGTCATCCATGAACTTGCTGAGGGTGCAAATCCACCCCATCATCCAGATCATTAATGAAGATATTACACAGAACCGGCCCCAGGACAGACCGCAGGGGCACTCTGCTTGATACCAGCTGCCAACTAAACACTGAGCCATTAATCACTACCCATTGAGCCCGACGATCTAGCCAGCTTTCTATCCACCTCATCCAATCCATACTTTTTTAACTTGCTGGCAAGAATACTGTGGGAGACTGTACCAAAATCTTTGCTAAAGTCAAGATATATCACATCCACTGCTTTCCCCATATCCACAGAGCCAGTTATCTCATCATAGAAGGCAATCAGGTTGGTCAGCCATGACTTGTCCATGGTGAATCCATGTTGACTGTTCCTGATCACCTTCCTCTCCTCCAAGTGCTTCAAAATGGATTCCTTGAGGACCTGCTCCATGAATTTTCCAGGAACTGAGGTAAGGCTAACTGGTCTGTAGTTCCCTTCTCTTTTTAAAAGATAGGCACTATGTCTGCCTTTTTCAAATCGTGGGGACCTCCCCCAGTTGCCACGGGTTTTCAAAGATAATGGCCAGTGGCTCTGCAATCATATCAGCCAATTCCCTCAGCACCCTTGGATTCATTAAGCTGGACCCATGGACTTATGCATGTCCAGCTTTTCTAAATAGTCCTTAACCTGTTCTTTCACCACTGAGGGCTGCTCACCTCCTCCCTATACTGTGCTGCCCAGTGCAGCAGTCTGAGAACTGACCTTGTCTGCAAAGATTGAGGCAAAAAAAGCAGTGAGTACTTCAGCTTTTTCCACATTACCTGTCATGAGGTTGCCTCTCGCATTCAGTAAGGGTCCCACACTTTCCCTGATCATCATCTTGCTAACATACCTGTAGAATCCCTTCTTGTTACCCTTCACATCCCTTGCTAGCTGCAACTCCAATTGTGCTTTGGCCTTCCTGATTATACCCCTGCATGTTCGAGCAATATGTTTATACTCCTCCCTAGTCATCTGTCCAAGTTTCCACTTCTTGTAAGTTTCCTTTTTGTGTTTAAGCTCACCGAAGATCCTGCCTTGTATGTACCTAATGCATTTGGAAGAAAGACATTCTCTTCCTTCAAGAGGACAGTAATTCCTTCAATTACTGCCACAGTCCTGGATGACTGCAACTCAGTAACCAATACCACTGGTTCGCTCAGACTGGACATTATCTTACATCAAGTATAGAAGGTGCAATGGGATGACTTACCATTCTGCTGCATTTGGTATCCTGACTGGGAAGGATGTGTGGGAGGAGGTGGTCCCTGAAGGCCAGTCATTGCAGGCCCTGACATGGATGGATGAGGTGGTGGTGAGGACACATGATTAGGCTGGGATGTTGGTAATCCAGTTAGAGCCTGTCCAGGTAACTGTGAGCCTTGCATTGTTGAAGGTCTTGGGGCCCCAGTGGTAGGAGGGTAACTGGAAGGTCCAATCCCTGTGGAGCAGGGAGGTGGGACAAAACCAGGGGCTTGAGGGAGGCGCTGGGCTGACAGTGGTGGACCAGAAAAAGCAGGTTGCGCCAGGGAAAGACCCTGAGACAGGCTGGTAGGAGGCAATCCATGGGTCATGGTAACAGGAGGGGGTCCTTGGCTTGAAGAGTAAGATGTGTAGAGACCAGATCCTGTTGCAGTAAAGCTTCCTGAGGCTGGAGGAACGGATGTTGGGGGACCTGATGAGCAGAAAAGTTATTGCCATTATTTGCTTTCACAAAGACAAAAAACACCTGAGTTAAGAGAGCACAAACCAAATCCACGCCCTCTAACCTACCTTGATCTCTACCTCAAACTACACTCTGCTCCTAAATCCAGACAAAAACCTTCAATGAAAGCCCTTCTGAAACTAGGGTCGGAGAGGTTGAGGAAGATGAAGTTCCTAAAAAGAGTTCCTGAATCACGATCACGCCTCCCCCCACCTCCCAATGATCTTTGATTCCAGGAACATTTGTAATTCATTTCGTGCTGTTTAACATTGTGAGTCTTTTCATTAATGTGAAGGCCATTATGCAGTGGGCAAAGCCAGATTGAAAAGCTACAATGCACTTTATCTCCTATCATTGATCCTTCTCCTTGTAAGGCTACGTCTACATAACGGGCCTTACAGCGGCACAGCTGTACTGCTGTAAAGTCTCCCATGTAGCCGTTCTTTGCCAGCAGGAGAGAGCTCTCCTACCAGCATAATTAACCCACTCCTAACAAGCGGTGTTAGCTATGTCGGCAGGAGAGCCTCTCCTGCTGACATAGCGCTGTCCACACCAGCACTTTTGTTAGTGAAACTTATGTCGGTCAGGGGGTGTTTTTTTCAGAGCCCTGACCGACAAAATTTTTACCAACAAAAGTGCTAGTGTAGACAAAGCCTAACAATGCAAGACAGATGATATCCTTAATGCAAATTTCCTGTCTTTTTTCTGTGTACCAAAATATGTTACTAACTAGAGGTAATTACATCATACTATTTATAGTGGGAAATTTGAGAAAGATTTTACCCTAAGTGTGTACAGTAGAATTTGTATACTTAAATCCCACTTGTTTTTCTCCTAAAAATAGGAAGTGTGATTACGCTATAGTACAGAATAGGCTTAGCAAAATTAATTGTGTTAACTAAAACAATTCAAGTGCAATAAAAATGTTTACACACAGAGAAGACCTAGTTTCACTGCAATTTCCAACCTTCTGTATAAAGGCAATGTCTTGCCAATTACAGTAGCAGGAATGACAAGAGAAAAAAGGATGCTCAGGTTCAGCGTTTTCTTCTGTAGAAGTCTTCTGATGTTAATTTAGTTTACAAAGCCCCATGAAACCCTTCAGTGCAGGATAATACAGTCTTTCATCCACTTATTGTTCACACAGGTTCAGTGCTCTGTCCCTTTGGTAGCTCCAACAGGCTTTCCCCCCCCTACTTTTTTAGACCAGGCTCCTGCCCAGCATCAAAGTATGTAGAATCTGCAACAGCTGGCTGAGAAAATGGTCTATTTCTGTAGTTCACATGCAGCTAGTGCAGCTGAACAGTAGAACCAGTTACACTTTTCTTTCTCAGTTCCTGCAATCCATTCCCAGGATCACCACATGTAACAGGCTCAGTGCTAAGCTTTCTCAAGTAACTTCCTATCACTATAAGATCTACCTGTATACTACCATGACACTCAATGTCCAGAAAACACCATCTCTTATTGGAAGAGGGTCACTGCCATACAAAAATGGCTCCACTACCAAAATACGAACACAGAGAGAAAATAATTATACGTACACAACCCTATGTGCCAAAATAACTCACCATAGCCCAGTCCAGCTGGGGGAGGAGCAGAGGTTGAACTGCCTATCTGCATTCCTGCCATGTGATTGGTCAGTTGCTGCGCACTGGTTGGGGGAGGGCCATATTGCTGGAAGGTAGCTGGTTGGCTAACAGGTGTGGGTGCAGTGCCTGGTATGAATGGCTGAGATGCAGAGGGCCTGTGAGGGGAGAGAAGGAAAGAATACAAATGTTATTAAGAGTGCCCTGTTATGTGAGGAATTACAGTTTTCCATGCTTTACAAACTGTTTGACTGTTCCAACACACACCTTGGTTTCAAGTTCTCACAAAACCCTGAGAACTAAGCAGTACATGAAGTCTGAAGTACAATTAGTTTCTGCACATCCTTTAATATTCTGTAACAATTCTGCTATCAAAAATCCAGTGTTTCTTGCAATATAAAGACTCTTATAGATTCACCTCACCAAACACTGTGCTTTTGTTTTTTCCCATGTTAGGCACAGCACTGTCCTAGAAGTATTGCTGCAGTGTAGTGGCATAGTAGCAGTGCTCTGCACTGCCAACTGGGATACCTGCCTTGTACTTCTCAGTCTCACCCCCCAGTTAGTTTGAGGCTGGAAGAGCTGTCAAGCTAGGGTGGATCAGCCATTCTGGAGGGCGAGTGGAAAAAGGAAGTGCTTAGTGTCAATCAATGGAGACTATTACAGCCAATTAAAAGAAATGATGTCCGACTCCAAAAAGGATCCATGCCCAGCCATCCTCTAAAACCTACTGGCATGACAGAGGGGCCCTTGGATGGAGAATCCTCTGAATTCCAAAGGGACACAAAGAAGCCAGAAGGGATATTTAAAAAGTTACTCCCACAAGGATGCAGACAGTGAAGTTTCAAACAGAAGGATGATGAGCTCGAGCTAAGACAGAAATTAATGCTACTGTAAGAATATAAACATACAGAAACTGAACAGAGTATTAGAGTCTTAAAACGCCTGATGGTATATGATTACTACAACCTAAGATTTTTGAGGGGAAGTTTTTGAACAGATTAATAGTAACTACTGATAACCACTGTGTCCACTGTACTGTAGTGTCTATGTCTACCACTTAGGTCTTTCTAGAAGCTTTCCAGATGCAAAGATTCAGACTGTGTAGCAAATTCTCCCTACTGTGAAATGTTACATATACTTATTGCATTATAATAGGGGAAGACTCTTCCTATGATCAATACTTAAAATCCATCCTAGGAAAAAAAACAACTAACTTTAGGTCCTGCACAAAGCAGCGTATTCCCCTTCCACACAGGAAGGATTTAAAAACAATACAAACAGGTTATAAAAGCCAAAGATAAACAGTTTTAATGTGGCAGAAATGATTGCTTAATACAGTGGTCACCAACCGGTCAATCGCCATCGACTGGTCGATCCTGGGGACTCTCCCAGTCAATCGCGATCTCCGGCAGTGCAGCTGGGCTGACGCTCGGCCCTACACCACTCCCGGAAGCACTGTCCCCACAGCTCCCGTTGCCAGGGAACAGGGAACTGTGACCAATGGGAGCTGAGGGGGCAGTGCCGGCAGAGAGGGGCATCGTGCAGCGCACCGTGCCACCAACCCCCTCCCCAGGGGCGTGTTGTCCCCTTCTGGGAGCAGCACGGGGCCAGGGCAGGCAGGAAGCCTGCCTTAGCCTTGCTGTGCCACCGATCGGGAGCCACCCGCAGTAAGTGCCGCCCTGTGGGAGGCTACACCCTAGCCCCCAGCCCCCTCCCGGAACCAGCACCCCATACCCCCCTCCTGCACCCCAGCCCTGAGCCCCATCCCAGAGCCAGCACCCCACACCTCCTCCTGCACCCCAACACTCTGCCCCAGCCCAGACCCCCCCTCCTGCACCCAAACTCCCTCCCAGAGCTTGCACCCCTCACCCCCTCCTGCACCCCAATCCCCTGCCCCAGGCTCAGCTTGGAGCCCCCTCTCACACTGCAAACCCCTCTGCCCCAACCCAGAGCCCGCACACCCTCCCGAACCCCAACACCCTGCCCCAGCCTGGTGAAAGTGAGTGAGGGTGGGGAAGAGCGAGCAAGCAACGGGGAGGGGGTGTGGAGGGAAATGCAGTGAGCAGGGCCTTGGGGAAGGGGCAGGATAGATCCTGGATTGCCCTTAAATTCAAAAAGTGATCTTGGGCATAAAAAGGTTGGAGACCACTGGCTTAATAAAATAAAGGGGTGGGGGAGGAGGGAGGGAAGAGAGAGTTACTCCATAAAGCTCCGTGACTCAAATCTGATTGATTCAAAGTTTGGACTCCTTCCTACTCACCTGTATTTTAAGCACATTAAATTCTTTAAATATGGTCTGCACCCAGGTGTCAATGTTCTCACCTAAAAAACCCAAAGACAACAGCCCTGCGCTCATGAGCAACTCTGACATAGCTAACAAGAGCAGAATGTTTCAGGAAGTAACATTACAGTTTCAAGCTCATGAGATATTATTCTAAAGGAATTAAAAAAAAAGGGGGGGGGGGTTTCTAGCCTGATTTTCAAAGTGGCTGAGAACTCCCCGGCCACACTGATGCCAAAGAAACTGGGTATGCTCAGAACCTCTGAGAAGTCTGCTCATTGAGTTTCACTGATATTTTGATTATATTCCTTTCCCTTTTACATTGTTTCACAAGTGGCAGTAAGACAAAAAAAAAAAAATCTGAAGCCACTTCAAAATCTCTTTGCTACCTAAAGCACAAGGTAAGAGACCATAAGTATTTTTGCCCTTCTTTGGGGGGGGGGGGGGGGCAGGGCGGGAGGAAAGTAGTATTGTGCTCTAGTAGCTTGATAGATTTAAGGTGTCCAAAGCCTTTCCTATGACTTGCTCTTCTCATAAGTACCTTTGCATCTGGACTGCTGAAGTTGCAATCCCATTCTGCACATCTCCTTGCCCAAACTGACTATACACTGGCTGGCCAGCAGGAACAGGTGCACCAGAGGTTGGTAGGGGCGCTCCAGATGTAGGGGGAGCTCTTAATGTACCTAGGGATACACAGAGAGAAATATTAATTGCATAGATTACCTCACAGAAATCTACCAGCACTGACCAGGTACCCACAAAACTAAGGGAAACAAGAATCCGTATGCAAGAGGAGATTAATGATTTGTGAACAAAGGCAGTATCTACACTGACCTTTCACCATTGCTGAAGCATCAGTGCAGCTCCATTTATAGCAACAGTGAAAGCCCTAGCATGAACAGGCTGCCAGCACTTTTAGCCACAGTGTTGTCTACCTCCACTCAGAAGAGGTCTAGATGATATTCGGTTAAGTCTCAGCAGTGGAAGTTCACCAGTGGTAGCATTGACCAAAGAGTCAGCTAAAGACAAGGCCCAAATGTCCATCATCCTTTCAGTAACAGTGGTGTGACCCCCTTTATGCTAGTGGCTAAATTATTTTCAAACCCAAGAAAGGGAAGTGGTCAGGTGGGACCTTATGTCAACATTGGGTCACTTTCCCCGTACGCACTGGCAGATGAAAAGCATTTGCTGAAACCATTTACAAAATTGTTTCCTGGCACTATATTTTTTGTAATATAACTGGGAACAACATGTCTAAATTGAAGTTTTTGGAAACTGTGAATAGTGGTTAACAGACTTAGTCTCATATTTGTTAGATCAAACTGTTTCAGTTGCAGTGTGGACATAATTGTGCAGCGAAATTAAGCCTGTCTTCCTTATCAGTCCCCCAGCACATAGGGCAATGCCCAAGAAGTGCTTGCAGTGTCTACTTCCAAAACAGAATGCACAAGCATAGATTTGGTATGATCACATTGACAAACATACTTATGGATACTTAGTAGCACAATCAAGACAACTAGCCATAAAAAATATGTATTTGTATTATTATACATATGACTAGATGCAGATGACTTAAAACATAAAATTGCTATATCAGATCGGACCATTAGTGGTATCCCGACAGTGGCCAGCACCAGATATTTCATAGTATGCTGCTAGTATCCCCATAATGGAGTTATGAAATAAACTGCCATAGGGGAAGCTATTTTTCAATCCCAGGAAGTTGGTTTTTTGCACACAATCAAGAGGGGCTTATATTCATACATTTTATTCTGCCTATATAAGCATGGTCTTATTTTAATTTACTATGCACCTGGCCTCAGAGATAGCATGGAATAAGTTATATGAGCTAATTATGCCTTATGTGAACAAGTTTTTCCCTTTATAAGTTTTAAATTAATTGCCAAAATCTCACTGAATGCCCTATTTGCCTTGCCTCACAATACCAAGAACAAGGGGACATTTAAATTTACTTTATACCATTCGTTTTTTATATACCTCCAATAAGTCACATCTCATTTGTCTCCTCTCTAAACTAAACAGTCCTAACACTTTATCTTTTCTTCCCAAACAGAAGTCCCTCCAGACCTCTAATCGTTTGAATTGCTCATTTGAGCCCCTTCTATTTCTGCTATATCTTTTTTTTGAGATGGGTGACTATTGGTACTTAATTTCATTTAAGAAACTTTAAGGCATTTTTGGGGTCTCCTTCCCATAATGAAACAGCCTCCTTGCAAAACTATTAGGAATTGTGGGATACAACCTTACCGTGGGTCTATCCCATGCATCTGAAAAGCATATCTAGACTGATTCCTAGAAGGGGATAGTGAGACTGCTCTAATGTTAGCATAGTTTAAAATGCATAAACACGTGAATTAAATGTTCAAAGGTGATTTAACTTTGTTGACAGAACTCAGAGTCTCTTGCAAATACATCAACGCTAGTTATGAATGCATTTCTTTAATCATTTCCTTGCAATTGCTCCAAGAAATCACTGGAAAATATTTACTTTAAAATTGCTGCTGGCCAATATTATCTGGAAATATTAGTGTCACCGCTAAAGCCCCTCTGTCCACCTTTATCCTCAGCTAAAGACATTGCCCTTTTGTAATGCAGACCCCATTGGGCCATTTCATTTACCATCTACACTATCCTGAGACTAAAGATACTTTGACAAAAATCTCAATCTCTCTTTATAGTGAAATTGTTTTAGTGGGTTAGCCCCAATTTTGACCTCATAGTGCCCTAAACTAACAGGATAGACAAACATAGCTGTAGTTCAGTCTAAATCAGGCAATCATCAGTAATTTCTACTAAGATTCTTTCTTTATACGCTGTGTGTGTTTCTGGAGGGCTGCCAGGGAGTAGAACAGTGAGGATACCATCAAGCTGCAACTGAGTAGCAAAGTGCATATTCACCACTTCCTTGAAACAAAACGCTCATTAAGCTCATCAAATGTGAACATCACAGATTTCACAGAGACACTTAGCAGAGAAACTATTTTTTGCTGTATGGACAGCAGGACGCCAACATCACAAACACTCCCACAGAGAAGACACCATTTACCTATGAAGTTAGGTGCAAGAGTACGAGTGTCAGAGTTGAGAGAAACAGGAGAGCCCTTCAAAGGGAACCCCAAGGAAGAAAAGTAACCTGGAAAGACAAAACACACCAGCAAGTAAAGCCTGAGAGACAGTACTCAGAGGTGAACTCGACAATGCCAGCTGAAGTCAGTTTGCTTTAGAGCAGAGAAACCCATAGAGATGTAGCATGGCTCTATTTGTTATACCCCACAAATCCTGAAATATTCCCTATACTCTGCTACTCCATATTACTATGCTATTGTCTAGAAAATGTACTACCAATGGGCAACACCTAACCATTGTAGATAGTGCAGGCTTAACTAGTATTGAGCCTGGTCAATATCAAGTATTCTAGCAGCAGCAACATGGCATGCAGAGAACTCTATAGGACTGCTTTTCCCAGGAAAAACCTTGTCAGAAAAGCAACTATCTCTTATGAAACATTCATACAAGCTCAGCCCATGGTAGGTTTATTCCACATTTCACTAACAAACATAAGAATGGCCGTACTGGGTCAGACCAAAGGTCCATCTAGCCCAGTATCCTGTCTACCGACAGTGGCCAATGCCAGGTGCCCCGGAGGGAGTGAACCCAACAGGCAATGATCAAGTGATCTCTCTCCTACCATCCATCTCCACCCTCTGACAAACAGGCTAGGGACACTCTTCCTTACCCATCCTGGCTAATATCCATTAACGGACTTAACTCCATGAATTTATCCAGTTCTCTTTTAAATGCTGTTATAGTCCTAGCCTTCACAACCTCCTCAGGCAAGGAGTTCCACAAGTTGGAAGTTCTTCTTCACACAGCGCACATTTGTTTTAAACCTGCTGCCCATTAATTTCATTTGGTGGCCCCTAGTTCTTGTATTATGGGAACAAGTAAATAACTTTTCCTTATTTACTTTCTCTACATCACTCATGATTTTATATACCTCTATCATATCCCCCCTTAGTCTCCTCTTTTACAAGCTGAAAAGTCCTAGCCTCTTTAATCTCTCCTCATATGGGACCCGTTCCAAACCCCTAATCATTTTAGTTGCCCTTCTCGGAACCTTTTCTAATGCCAGTATATCTTTTTTGAGATGAGGAGACCACACCTGTACGCAGTATTCAAGATGTGGGCGTACCATGGATTTATATAAGGGCAATAAGATACACACTGTCTTATTTTCTATCCCCTTTTTAATGATTCCTAACATCCGGTTTGCTTTTTTGACCGCCGCTGCACACTGCGTGGACGTCTTCAGAGAACTATCCACGATGACTCCAAGATCTTTTTCCTGATTTGTTGTAGCTAAATTAGCCCCCCCCATCATATTGTATGTATAGTTGGGGTTATTTCTTCCAATGTGCATTACTTTACATTTAACCACATTAAATTTCATTTGCCATTTTGTTGCCCAATCACTTAGTTTTGTGAGATCTTTTTGAAGTTCTTCACAGTCTGCTTTGGTCTTAACTATCTTGAGCAGTTTAGTATCGTCTGCAAACTTTGCCACCTCACTTTTTACCCCTTTCTCCAGATCATTTATGAATAAGTTGAATAGGATTGGTCCTAGGACTGACCCTTGGGGGACACCACTTGTTACCCCTCTCCATTCTGAGAATTTACCATTTATTCCTACCCTTTGTTCCCTTTTAACCAGTTCTCAATCCATGAAAGGACCTTCCCTCTTATCCCATGACAACTTAATTTACAGAAGACTTTGGTGAGGGACCTTGTCAAAGGCTTTCTGGAAATCTAAGTACACTATGTCCACTGGATCCCCCTTGTCCATGTTTGTTGACCCCTTCAAAGAACTCTAATAGATTAGTAAGACACGATTTCCCTTTACAGAAACCATGTTGACTTTTGCCCAACAATTTATGTTCTTCTATGTGTCTGACAATTTTATTCTTTACTATTGTTTCAACTAATTTGCCCGGTACTGACGTTAGACTTACCGGTCTGTAATTGCCGGGATCACCTCTAGAGCCCTTTTTAAATATTGGCGTTACATTAGCTATCTTCCAGTCATTGGGTACAGATGCCGATTTAAAGGACAGGTTACAAACCATAGTTAATAGTTCCGCAACTTCACATTTGCGTTCTTTCAGAACTCTTCAGTGAATGCCATCTGGTCCTGGTGACTTGTTACTGGTAAGTTTATCAATTAATTCCAAAATCTCCTCTAGTGACACATCAATCTGTGACAATTCCTCAGATCTGTCACCTGCAAAAGCCGGCTCAGGTTTGGGAATCTCCCTAACATCCTCAGCCGTAAAGACTGAAGCAAAGAATCCATTTAGTTTCTCAGCAATGACTTTATCGTCTTTAAGCGCTCCTTTTGTATCTTGATCATCCAGGGGCCCCACTGGTTGTTTAGCAGGCTTCCTGCTTCTGATCTACTTAAACATTTTGTTATTACCTTTTGAGTTTTTGGCTAGCCATTCTTCAAACTCCTTTGGCTTTTCTTATTACATTTTTACACTTAATTAGGCAGTGTTTATGTTCCTTTCTATTTACCTCACTAGGATTTGACTTCCACTTTTTAAAAGATGCCTTTTTATCTCTCACTGCTTCTTTTACATGGTTGTTAAGCCACGGTGGCTCTTTT